ATGTTTTCAATATGCGCGTGCACGAGCGCGCGCTAATGACGCCATAAATTATGCGCAGTAAGGATGCGCAATGCAAATGTGAGGAATGACCTTAAACTGATGATCATTGAATAAAGCTGATAAAATACTTGCCAAAGGCGATGGTACGTAGGAGGCATTGATACACACTGTTGAATAAAAGAAATGTGTCATAGATAGGTAGCTGGATGATATTTAGCAAGTAAATTAATGTGTCGAATAATTGAGTTTTCGAAACTCCAAGCCGATTGGCAAAGGGTTTCACCACCGTCGAGCCACACGAATTTATCTGGGCGTATTAACGGGTAGGCTGTAATGAAGTAGTCCTTTAAATAATGAAATAAATGACTGACTGAGATTTTGTTGGGGCCAGAATGGCGGTCATAACAAAGTGACCGTATTAACGTTGTGGCTGTAAGGTGGGGTTCGTAAAAAGCTACATTACCCATTACTTGTCAGCGAATCGAATACCCTCTTCATCAGATCAGATCATTATTAGAATGTGGTGATGCTGGTTCTTGAGGTAGAGGGAAACTAGCAAATTTGGAAACTTGGAATCTGGTAGGGACGAGAGCATTTATTTATTTGACTGACAAATTCACCTGTCATATTCGACATCTCCATTATTTTTTGCAGAAGAAACAATCTATTTTGCCCGGTTACAGCTGAGAGAAGTTTTACTTATCTCAAATACAGTTTCATTTTCTTGTTTCCGATAACAATGTGACGAAATTTAAAATACAGTTTCATTTTCTTGTTTCCGATAACAATGTGACGAAATTTAAAACCATCTGGTTAAACCAATGTGCGAGACAATTGATATTACACCAACATTTCTATGTTGGCACTGAGAGCGGCCAGGTCAGTAAGCGAAATTCTGGTGGTGTTACGAAACCCACCCGGTCCGTATTCTGTTCTATATTTTAACATAGAAAAGAAGAAGATAGAGATTGCTTACCATTGGCGTCGATGGATTTGTGGAATGGATGAGCCTTGATGTGAAGGCAGCAGCCACACTGATGATGGTGGTCAGAACAACTGCAACGACGATCACTGAGCTCCAGGGAAGAAGGACTTAAGTTGTCTTCTTCTGCAAAGAAAATCCTGTCAAATTCGCCCTACTGTCAACTGACTCCCAAAAGGAAAGTCGATAAAACAAACGCAATAAAATAAACCTACAAATGCACGAACGCAGTTGATCATGCACACATGAACCAAATGTTCGTTCGTGGTATTTTTTTTCGTTGCGCTGATTGTCACGTACTCTGAGAAGTCTTTTTACGTGGTATTGAAAACATGGAGACTAGATGATAGTTGGAAATGAAGACGAAGGTTTGAACCGAAAAAAATGGCCCTTTATCAAAACAATGTATAGTCATTTTGAGGCTGTCTGCGCAATCTATTTCAGCACTTGTTTTGTTCTAGTTCTGTTATGTTCTGTTCCATTCTGTACCGGAAACAAAACGTTTCCAGATCTTAGCTTTTGTATATTAAAATTAGCCATGGTAGCTGCTTCACACCTTATTGCGTTTGTACAATTGAAAGACGTGTTGCACTTGGTTCATTGTCAATCTTGACGATGTTTCAGTTTTGGGCAATGCATGGCAAATAAAATATAATATGGATATTTCAAATACCGTAATCCCAAGCAGGTATTGCACAGACAACGTTGAGAAAAGCCAGTACTGAAACGCAGACGAAGAAACTGTCCATGTTGTTGAAGCTTGCAGCTCAGCTGACTAAAGGAAAACACTTGAGCTTGGCGGATTTTATCGAGAAAGATCAAGATGAAATGTGACACAAGAATACTTAAACCAATCAGTGAGCTTCACAGCCACATAATTAAAACAGTTAGAAAGCGAAATCATATTTTAACCGTTTGTTTCATCACCGCTGAATCGTGTAAAGCATAAAATGTCACATTTTCGCCAGATCACAATACTTAACTCAAGCTCAATTCACAAGAAAAAAAGCATTGTGTATATTACTTAACTACAAAAGTAAATTACATTTATCAGTTCATTCACCGCTAAACTTTATGATAAAGGCTATGACTCATTTCATTGGATTGAAAGGGGAAATTCTATTCTTCCGTCAAAATCATTTATAGTTTCAGAACGCGTTCGGCGACACTAGAAAATGAAATACATGCTACACGCACTGACACATGCAATTCTCTTTTTTAAGGCGGTGAAATCACCATGTCAAAGATTTGTTTCGAACTCAAAAGGGAAAATCATTCATTTGGTATATAAGCCTTTTTTCCATTTCGAGTCAGTCCATAATCTTTGCAGGATCAAAAATCTGTGTCAGAAAATGAAAGTATGTGATGCAAGTTGTCAGGTGGAACGGATGACAGTGAGCCCAGAATAGTCGCTTGTTGATTATTGCGGTAATTCTCATAACCTATCTTCTTTGATTATGTGTTAATGATCTGGGGAGAAATCAGATATTGAGCATTGTGCGCGCTTGTGAAGAGTAAACTCTAACGAGTATTCTTTTATAGCCGTGAGTTATTAGTTTCTAACGAAACTGTTTTGTGTTGTGTCATACCAGGTAAGGGATGCAACAGCTGAAGTTAAGATTGCAAATTTGAGCTTTTTCGACTGGTTCGATCCGTCTCAATTTCTACCACACTTCACGAGCTGAACACTCCCTGAAGATTTTTAAAATTTTCTATTACATGCACTTATTTGCATGAGACAACAGCTCATTAATCCCTCAGTGCAACCACTGGTTAAATCGTTAGGATGAATTTTTAAATCCATTCTGCCCAAAACATTTTCCTCATAGTTTCACGGGAAGAATTGATTAAGGATTCACCTTACATCCTTCTGTCCTCCCCTCACGAATACATTTTGACCATCAGTATAACTACAACAAAATTTAAATTTAAAATTAAATCCAAAATTCATTACATCAGAAATGGGATTTCTTAGTGACAAAGGCTTCGTGTACTTAAACTAGTACTATATATTTAGCCAGAATATTGCATCTAGTGGCTTATACGATTGTTAATTCACGATTTTCGTTTTCAACTTTTCTTCATACGATACAAGATATACAATCGGAGAGAATTTATTTATTTAAGGATATATTCCCGCTCTAGCTCACTTAAGTCGCTAGCGAGGGCACTTTTATTGTTCGGTGACTTCTTTGTTTGTGTCTTGCCAAAAAGATCACCTGAACACATAACCTTGAATTTGATCAGTTGCAATTATATAACCAAATCCACTTCAGATATCTTAGCAGCTGTTTTTATTTTACAATCTTTGTTGCGGTGGATCCACCGCACATAAAAGTCATAAGAGCTACTTGTGTGAATATAAATTATTTGGGGTAAGAAATTTAACCAATGAGAACAGGCTGGAAAACCAAGTTGAAACTGTGACACGTCTATCATTGTTTGTCGCCTGAGTTTTAATTTTTCTTGTACAATTCTTCTACCATGGAAACGTGTTAAAATGAAATAAATTTGAATCATCTTCAAGGACATATGCATACATTTAAAAGCAGAATTTTACTAGAGGCAATTTCAATAAAAGTTCTTTTTCTTTTTTTTTTTTTTTTTGGTGGTGATGATTTTGTCATTAAAATACATAATGAAAAAGGTAGAACATAGCACACCGATTTGCATAAAAAATCGCATATTCAAGTCAGAATTCTGTCATTTTACAAAGTCGCTGTGTTGTTGGCCCATTTACACACATCACAGCATCTCATCTTTTCTTCTAATCTCCATTTCCCGTACAAATTTACCAAGCGCAACCACTAACGAAAAAAAAGCATGTTTTGTTGCATGACTCCAATATTTACGCGGTAGAGTTCTTCACTTTCTCGGATTCCATACTGTTTATTTATAAATTTCATTGTCTTTGTTCATGAACGCCTACTTCCACAATTTGCTATTCGGCGTTAGACGGTTCTGAAGTTGCAGCATCTCCATTCAACTCACTGGTTTCGATCTCTGCGGTTTGCGTTGTTTCGTCGATTTCTTTTCGCTCTCCGTTTTCACCCAGTTTTTCATAAAGCAGTGGCCTTCCGACATCGGGCGTTTCACGACTACAACAGTTTCCCATTTTCGCTTGATCAATGCAAAGATCGCTGAGTAAATGTTAGTGAGTTACGCGTAAAGCTGGTTTCTTTTGGGTTTCTTCAGCATGAAAAAGTTGGTGGTAGGTTTTCCAATGTCATCGGCAAGTTGATGTTATAATCTTTTTCGTGAATGTCACACCGCACACATATTACATGAAAGTAAACTCTTATGATATCCACCGGCATATCACAAGGTCCGCCACGTGTCATGTTAACCGTTTCCGATATCCCTTTTGGTGGACTGGAACTAACCTGAAAGGAAGGCTCATTTGCAAGTCTGAAGCGTAAAAGTTTGAAGTTTGACGGGCGACGCAATAAAATACAGTGGCAAATGAAGTGGCACCCCAGCGGATAACAATTTTTACTTCCTAATGCGCATTCTGCACAGCCTATAGATCTTTTTCACGTAACATCGTTTAATTTCTCAGATCAATTTAAGACTTTAAGCCCTACAGCGTGAGTGAAGCACGCTTCTCGCCCTAAGATCTCGCGCGGCCATATTTTTTTCGCGGTTTTCTTTCTCGTCACGCACGACAGACTAAGCAAAAGAGGGACTACTCGTAGTCTAGCAGCGTCACCAATTACAGGAATACTTTTACTGACGTAGAGTGCTTTGCTTTAATTAAAAGCGTTTTAACTCTCGAGACACAAACCAATATTTTTGTCCTTTTAAATACTCTCAGATGTGCTGGAAGCATTCCAAAGTGAAAAGTCGTTATTGGTGACAAAATCTCTCTTTCCTCTTGCAGATCCACAAATGTAATTTTCCAAAACAAAATGTATTGTTTTACCAGTAACTTGGTTGCTCTGAAAACTGAAAGATTGAAATTTGAGCAAATGATTCAGCCCATTAACTCTTAAATTCTATTAGTTTGTGGATGTTTTTCAATGCAGCAAACTGGGAAGTCTGTGAGCTACCCGTGAGATAATACCCCTGTATATGTTTCCCCGTTGACAAGCCTAGACCACATCTCTTGCAAAGTTGTCGTAAGGCCACCTATGAACACTCAAAATACAACATTCAATCAGAGATTATATCTTTCATTTTCTCTACATCCACAATTTATTGTCAACAAATAATCTCCCAGAGGCGTACTTTGTTTCCACATTAACTTCATCTTTACAAGTAATACATGAACATCTTCAATATTTATAATGTACGATAAAGCTGATCACGTTCAGTATCTGTCTGTCAGTACAGACCGGTCACAACATCTCTTAACAATAATATGCCGTAATTTAAATAGTTTCTCGGGAGGTAAGATACAATAAATATTAAAATACCTTCTTTTTTAACATAACCGCTTCTTCGTGTTTACAACATTTACAGAGTAATTCGCGGGACAAACACACATTTCTCTAGCGCTCCACTGACTCGGCTGAATGTAGCCATGTTTTGCTTAATAAGTACGGCCGGTAGCTTTACGAACAGTTGAGGTTTCTTTAACGTTTTCTTTTAGCGAGGCTTAGTATGTAACATAACATTTTTATTCGGCTGGGATGGAGAAGTTTGTGAGCAATGTTTGATGTCCATTAACAAGCACGAGAAAGTACAGAAAAAGAGGACTCCATATACAAAGGAACATTACTCCTTTGTCACGGGCGTTCAATTCACTCCTCCCCCGGGATTTAACAACTTAGAGTGGCTGATGGGAGGGGGGGGGGGGTGATGATTTCATCTTTGTTGGTGCCGAGGGGGTCTCTTGAGATTAGACGAGGTCTTGGACTGTACCACAGGTTTCCCACTTTGCCAGTAAGATTTCTGGATGGCGAATCCGTCGACTGCGATGGATAAGGTTTTGGAAGGAATCTTTGTAAACTCTTTACCACCGCTATTATACCTGCAGTGACAACAGAACAATACAGTAATAGGTTAGCTAGTAAATATTTCTCTCAGTCCCATTTAGAAAAATTCATTAACTTAAAACAGAGAAAATGTCGGCGGTTTAGAAAGTTTTCAGAAATACTCCGCTGCGCTTCGTTCTTCCTCTCTCCTGTCGGTATTTGATGAAAAGAAAACATTTCGAAATGCAATTGATTACAAAAATAAGCGAAAGTAAGCTGCGATGTTTCCAATTCATCTTGACTTCATTATCAAGTAGAGAAATTAACAGTCGAGAAGTTAATTTAGGGTGAAAGGTATATGAATATATTTAAGTGTAACACGGTCTAATTAAGAGTTCTTAGGTGTCAACAGTTAACGTACGGGAAAAACTTAGACGAATGCTTTCGGATGAATTGAGTCTGTGTATTTATTTAAGGTTCTCTTCCACGAATGAAACGCATTTCGTGTCTTTAGTGTATAATCATTTCGTGTCTTTAGTGTACAATCTAATTGTTATTCTTCATAGTGAAGTGCAGTGATAATGTACTTACTTATAAAGACCTTCCAACATTTTACTCGTGACAACACGTGGTCCGATTCCAAATATTTTGAACAGCTGAGAACAGGAAAACAATCAGAATATCAGGCGTTAGGTTCTACCCTTTACGAAGCCACATACCTCTGTAGAAAGCGGTACGTGACTTAGATCTATTAATATTGAAAATAAGGGTTGGTGCACAAAACAACAGGACGCTGACAAGCGGGACAGTGCCATATCAATATTCTGAGAACGGCGTTTAAATTCCTGCCGTTCCGTTGTTGTTTTCTTTGTTTGCAGCGCCATTTTAAAGAGGTAAGTCACGGTTTGCGTATCTTAAAAAGTTTAGCCTAAATTTTTCAAGTTCGTCGTTTGTAATCTGTGTTAATCTTCTCCATCCTTGACCATCTTTGTTCCTTTATGGTTTACTATTATCTCTTTGGTGTATTTCTATCGTAGCAAGCTACTATTTTCAGGTTTCCTTCAATTTAAAGGTAACTTTGTACCTGGCCAAAATAACTCAAAATGTCATGACTGAGCTCCTTGAAATCTCTCACTGTGTTTCTCTCTGGAGCTGACTATTAAGCAAAACTGATTTTACAAAACGAAAGTTAACACAGAAAGAGCAATAACCTGGTCGTTTTCAAGGTTGTGTACATATATCCCTCGGAACTTGAGTCCATCCTTAAACAGGATCATGAAGTGATGACCGTCGGATTCCGATATAGCCTGCAGTCACATTAAAACACAGAAATAAGAACATCGAGGAAAAAAAGCAAGAGAGGAAGTAACAAACATAAGGAGGCGCGGTGACCTAACGGTTAGTACCTCGACTCTGGATCGAGCGGTCCGGGTTCGAGCCCTGGCCGAAGACATTGTGTTGTGTTCTTGGGCAAGAAACGTTACTCTCACAGTGCCTCTCGCCACCCGGGTGTATAAATGGGTATTGGCGAACTTAATGCTGGCGGGTAACCCTGCGATGGACTAGTATCCCATCCAGGGGGGAGTAGAAATACTCTTGGTCGCTTCATGCTACTGAAGCTGGAGATAAGCTCCAGCCGGATGGGCCGCTTGGCTCGTATGCAGACTCAACCAGTAATAAACATGTAGTAAGGCCAAAGTCTAACGTTTCACTGCTTTCGTGACTTGTAACGTGGACTAGGTGGAAGGAAAGACTACTTCACTGCTTAAAGAGGTCACTTGACATTAAGAAGATCAAAAAAACGCTACGCTGGTTTCTTCCTACAGAAAGTGTTCGAGATAAAAAGCTGTCGATGCGCTGTTGTTGTTGTTGTTGTTGTTTAGAGGGAGGTCGCTTGATGTAGAAAATGAAATGGAAACTGAGCCCCCTTTGAAATATCTCATCTGTAAACAGAAAGAACGAGTCACGGGACACAGGCATACCACTGGAACAGACCTGTAAACACTTCTCTTTTTGATCCTGGTTTACTGTTCCTGATAAACACACATGAGAGATGGCATTCACGATAATTTTCCTGTTAGACTTGCCGCTCGGTTTGACATAACACTGTGGGCCTACAACAAAAAAAAAACACAAATTTAGTTTAAAATCTAGAAAATCTCACAGTTTTACCCAAAAGCTATCCTTACCACTAAATTCAGCAAAACCAGAGGGCTGCGCAGGGGCTGGAACGAAATAACTGTTAGAGTCATCATCGACGTCATAAACATGTTGCCTAGACCCAGGGCGGCGGTAGGTGGAGTAGGAGTCTGGGACTCGTGCGGCCTGGGCCTCTCTCATCCTCAGTTCCTGCTCGGCTTTTTGTCGATCCAGTTCTTCTTGGCGTAGTCTCTCCTCTTCCATTTTCTGAAGCATTTCTTTTTCGCGCTGTTTTTCTTCTCTCCTGTGAAAAACAAACGATTTAAGTCGCCATTACTGTTGGTAATCTTTTTCGGAAAACCGAAAAAAAAGTCTGCCACTTTGTTCGATGTTGCCGGGCAAGTTGCACGTTGCTTAGTGTAAGACCAGCTAGGTAACGCAGGAAAAAGGACAAAAATCTTTCACAGTGGAATAATATTATTGCTCATTAAAATTCCAAAGGGAACGTATCTATTCGTAATAGCACAATTTACCTTCTCTTTTTCTCCATCTCTGCTTCTTTTCTAGTTCTATCCTCTTCTTGTTTTTTCTGCCTTAGTCTCATAAATTTCTCTCGCTTGCGTTCTTGTTCTGGAGTCAAGCCCTACACAGGCAAAAGAGACCCACCCATATTACATAGGGATCGAATACCGATTGCCATATATTTCTTTTAGCTCTAGTTCTGAGAAATCTGGAGTTTCATCAACTTGATTATTATATTTATTCTCAACATCACTCTAGCTGAAATTGTATCGATATTATAAAGGAGAAGATTAATGCTGATCAACCTCGCACTACTTGTCTAGTTCCAGGCTTGGTTTCTGTTTTGATTACTTGTTCTTGTTCTACTACCGCCTCCATCATTTTTTAAAAAGATACAATCAAATTGTACAATCCGAACAAATTAAATCAACAAAAGACAGCTGCAATTCTTCGAAAACATGGCGGGCTGAAACAGCACCAATAAAAAAGTTATCATATTTGTTAGTAAATACAAATCAGTTTACCTGTGTTGTAGGTTGTGCGTCATCACCAATAAACATTGCCAATCCTTTCTTACTAGGGGTGTGAATCTCCACCTCAATTTCCGCTGTACCACCCCCAGGAGGGTGAACGACGTTGCGTTCTTGCTTGGTATCGCTACTCATAGAGGCTGTGTCCGGATACACCAACGGGGGTGGTGTCGGTACTTGAGCAACGTCCACATTCCAACACTTCCGCGCGGGTGCCGTGTGGCGGGAAGCCGCTGGATCGTGCGAAGACGGGCGTGGTGGGACTGGCGTGGGCGTGGAACTCACTTCGACCGCTGGTTGGGATGACGGGCGCATTACATCCTGATTAAAGTCCAGATCTTCACCAGGTGGGTAATCAGAAAGGCGAAATTCACGTGTTTCAAACTGCGGTTCACCGGAAGGACTGGGTTTAGAGACGGACGCAGGAAGTGGAGAGTTAGCTGGAGACGACCAAGCGATGGGTGGAGAGGGTTGATTAGGAAACTCGGCCAAAGGTTTTCTCGGTTTATCGTGGGGAACCCTGTCCACGTGCACCGCCTAAAATTGGAAATAAGATAAACATGTTGATAACTTAATCCAGAACAGCTATGTAGCCAAACTGAAAGAGTGCTGGGTTCGCCAAAAAAGCCCACTGTTTAGTCTCCTCAGTTGGTGCTCCGCTTTTTGTATCTGATTCAACCTGCTTTTCATGAGTTATTAATACTATCATGTTTTTTAGGAAGGAAAAAAAAACAACAAACAAACAGACAAATGCGGCTAAATTTCTCACCTCAGACCCAGTTCCTTCTCGGACATTCTGATTCCCTTGAGCTTTTCCAATGACATACCAAAACGCAGTCTGCCCCAGTCTCCTTCGCTGATCTTCCCACTCGGCTTGAGCACGGTATTTTTCAGCCTCGATGTGACGCCGTTTCTCTTCAAGCTGCATTTGCAGGTAAGCAATCTGTGACGTCACTACCTTTTCGTCTTCAACTTCATCTGGCGTTTCGTCGATTTCACCTAAAACACAAAACCACGTCAGTAAATATATTTGTCTGTGTCACGCTACGCAGTGCCATATAACGCATGACTAACTGTCACGCAATCCTGGCTTGTTGGCTGGTACTGGACTGGAAATCCCTTAGACATGGCGCAGTAGGAGTTACGATAAAAAGAAACAAAATTACTTTATACAACTTTTTTTTCACCGATAAACCTTTGAGTCTGTGGATGAAACCCTAGTGTGTGACCATTCAAATGAAAGCTATTGAGCAGTACTTTCATGTTTTTTTTTTTTGGTGGTGATGATTTTGTCATTAAAATACATAATGAAAAAGGTAGAACATAGCACACCGATTTGCATAAAAAATCGCATATTCAAGTCAGAATTCTGTCATTTTACAAAGTCGCTGTGTTGTTGGCCCATTTACACACATCACAGCATCTCATCTTTTCTTCTAATCTCCATTTCCCGTACAAATTTACCAAGCGCAACCACTAACGAAAAAAAAGCATGTTTTGTTGCATGACTCCAATATTTACGCGGTAGAGTTCTTCACTTTCTCGGATTCCATACTGTTTATTTATAAATTTCATTGTCTTTGTTCATGAACGCCTACTTCCACAATTTGCTATTCGGCGTTAGACGGTTCTGAAGTTGCAGCATCTCCATTCAACTCACTGGTTTCGATCTCTGCGGTTTGCGTTGTTTCGTCGATTTCTTTTCGCTCTCCGTTTTCACCCAGTTTTTCATAAAGCAGTGGCCTTCCGACATCGGGCGTTTCACGACTACAACAGTTTCCCATTTTCGCTTGATCAATGCAAAGATCGCTGAGTAAATGTTAGTGAGTTACGCGTAAAGCTGGTTTCTTTTGGGTTTCTTCAGCATGAAAAAGTTGGTGGTAGGTTTTCCAATGTCATCGGCAAGTTGATGTTATAATCTTTTTCGTGAATGTCACACCGCACACATATTACATGAAAGTAAACTCTTATGATATCCACCGGCATATCACAAGGTCCGCCACGTGTCATGTTAACCGTTTCCGATATCCCTTTTGGTGGACTGGAACTAACCTGAAAGGAAGGCTCATTTGCAAGTCTGAAGCGTAAAAGTTTGAAGTTTGACGGGCGACGCAATAAAATACAGTGGCAAATGAAGTGGCACCCCAGCGGATAACAATTTTTACTTCCTAATGCGCATTCTGCACAGCCTATAGATCTTTTTCACGTAACATCGTTTAATTTCTCAGATCAATTTAAGACTTTAAGCCCTACAGCGTGAGTGAAGCACGCTTCTCGCCCTAAGATCTCGCGCGGCCATATTTTTTTCGCGGTTTTCTTTCTCGTCACGCACGACAGACTAAGCAAAAGAGGGACTACTCGTAGTCTAGCAGCGTCACCAATTACAGGAATACTTTTACTGACGTAGAGTGCTTTGCTTTAATTAAAAGCGTTTTAACTCTCGAGACACAAACCAATATTTTTGTCCTTTTAAATACTCTCAGATGTGCTGGAAGCATTCCAAAGTGAAAAGTCGTTATTGGTGACAAAATCTCTCTTTCCTCTTGCAGATCCACAAATGTAATTTTCCAAAACAAAATGTATTGTTTTACCAGTAACTTGGTTGCTCTGAAAACTGAAAGATTGAAATTTGAGCAAATGATTCAGCCCATTAACTCTTAAATTCTATTAGTTTGTGGATGTTTTTCAATGCAGCAAACTGGGAAGTCTGTGAGCTACCCGTGAGATAATACCCCTGTATATGTTTCCCCGTTGACAAGCCTAGAACACATCTCTTGCAAAGTTGTCGTAAGGCCACCTATGAACACTCAAAATACAACATTCAATCAGAGATTATATCTTTCATTTTCTCTACATCCACAATTTATTGTCAACAAATAATCTCCCAGAGGCGTACTTTGTTTCCACATTAACTTCATCTTTACAAGTAATACATGAACATCTTCAATATTTATAATGTACGATAAAGCTGATCACGTTCAGTATCTGTCTGTCAGTACAGACCGGTCACAACATCTCTTAACAATAATATGCCGTAATTTAAATAGTTTCTCGGGAGGTAAGATACAATAAATATTAAAATACCTTCTTTTTTAACATAACCGCTTCTTCGTGTTTACAACATTTACAGAGTAATTCGCGGGACAAACACACATTTCTCTAGCGCTCCACTGACTCGGCTGAATGTAGCCATGTTTTGCTTAATAAGTACGGCCGGTAGCTTTACGAACAGTTGAGGTTTCTTTAACGTTTTCTTTTAGCGAGGCTTAGTATGTAACATAACATTTTTATTCGGCTGGGATGGAGAAGTTTGTGAGCAATGTTTGATGTCCATTAACAAGCACGAGAAAGTACAGAAAAAGAGGACTCCATATACAAAGGAACATTACTCCTTTGTCACGGGCGTTCAATTCACTCCTCCCCCGGGATTTAACAACTTAGAGTGGCTGATGGGAGGGGGGGGGGGGTGATGATTTCATCTTTGTTGGTGCCGAGGGGGTCTCTTGAGATTAGACGAGGTCTTGGACTGTACCACAGGTTTCCCACTTTGCCAGTAAGATTTCTGGATGGCGAATCCGTCGACTGCGATGGATAAGGTTTTGGAAGGAATCTTTGTAAACTCTTTACCACCGCTATTATACCTGCAGTGACAACAGAACAATACAGTAATAGGTTAGCTAGTAAATATTTCTCTCAGTCCCATTTAGAAAAATTCATTAACTTAAAACAGAGAAAATGTCGGCGGTTTAGAAAGTTTTCAGAAATACTCCGCTGCGCTTCGTTCTTCCTCTCTCCTGTCGGTATTTGATGAAAAGAAAACATTTCGAAATGCAATTGATTACAAAAATAAGCGAAAGTAAGCTGCGATGTTTCCAATTCATCTTGACTTCATTATCAAGTAGAGAAATTAACAGTCGAGAAGTTAATTTAGGGTGAAAGGTATATGAATATATTTAAGTGTAACACGGTCTAATTAAGAGTTCTTAGGTGTCAACAGTTAACGTACGGGAAAAACTTAGACGAATGCTTTCGGATGAATTGAGTCTGTGTATTTATTTAAGGTTCTCTTCCACGAATGAAACGCATTTCGTGTCTTTAGTGTATAATCATTTCGTGTCTTTAGTGTACAATCTAATTGTTATTCTTCATAGTGAAGTGCAGTGATAATGTACTTACTTATAAAGACCTTCCAACATTTTACTCGTGACAACACGTGGTCCGATTCCAAATATTTTGAACAGCTGAGAACAGGAAAACAATCAGAATATCAGGCGTTAGGTTCTACCCTTTACGAAGCCACATACCTCTGTAGAAAGCGGTACGTGACTTAGATCTATTAATATTGAAAATAAGGGTTGGTGCACAAAACAACAGGACGCTGACAAGCGGGACAGTGCCATATCAATATTCTGAGAACGGCGTTTAAATTCCTGCCGTTCCGTTGTTGTTTTCTTTGTTTGCAGCGCCATTTTAAAGAGGTAAGTCACGGTTTGCGTATCTTAAAAAGTTTAGCCTAAATTTTTCAAGTTCGTCGTTTGTAATCTGTGTTAATCTTCTCCATCCTTGACCATCTTTGTTCCTTTATGGTTTACTATTATCTCTTTGGTGTATTTCTATCGTAGCAAGCTACTATTTTCAGGTTTCCTTCAATTTAAAGGTAACTTTGTACCTGGCCAAAATAACTCAAAATGTCATGACTGAGCTCCTTGAAATCTCTCACTGTGTTTCTCTCTGGAGCTGACTATTAAGCAAAACTGATTTTACAAAACGAAAGTTAACACAGAAAGAGCAATAACCTGGTCGTTTTCAAGGTTGTGTACATATATCCCTCGGAACTTGAGTCCATCCTTAAACAGGATCATGAAGTGATGACCGTCGGATTCCGATATAGCCTGCAGTCACATTAAAACACAGAAATAAGAACATCGAGGAAAAAAAGCAAGAGAGGAAGTAACAAACATAAGGAGGCGCGGTGACCTAACGGTTAGTACCTCGACTCTGGATCGAGCGGTCCGGGTTCGAGCCCTGGCCGAAGACATTGTGTTGTGTTCTTGGGCAAGAAACGTTACTCTCACAGTGCCTCTCGCCACCCGGGTGTATAAATGGGTATTGGCGAACTTAATGCTGGCGGGTAACCCTGCGATGGACTAGTATCCCATCCAGGGGGGAGTAGAAATACTCTTGGTCGCTTCATGCTACTGAAGCTGGAGATAAGCTCCAGCCGGATGGGCCGCTTGGCTCGTATGCAGACTCAACCAGTAATAAACATGTAGTAAGGCCAAAGTCTAACGTTTCACTGCTTTCGTGACTTGTAACGTGGACTAGGTGGAAGGAAAGACTACTTCACTGCTTAAAGAGGTCACTTGACATTAAGAAGATCAAAAAAACGCTACGCTGGTTTCTTCCTACAGAAAGTGTTCGAGATAAAAAGCTGTCGATGCGCTGTTGTTGTTGTTGTTGTTGTTTAGAGGGAGGTCGCTTGATGTAGAAAATGAAATGGAAACTGAGCCCCCTTTGAAATATCTCATCTGTAAACAGAAAGAACGAGTCACGGGACACAGGCATACCACTGGAACAGACCTGTAAACACTTCTCTTTTTGATCCTGGTTTACTGTTCCTGATAAACACACATGAGAGATGGCATTCACGATAATTTTCCTGTTAGACTTGCCGCTCGGTTTGACATAACACTGTGGGCCTACAACAAAAAAAAAACACAAATTTAGTTTAAAATCTAGAAAATCTCACAGTTTTACCCAAAAGCTATCCTTACCACTAAATTCAGCAAAACCAGAGGGCTGCGCAGGGGCTGGAACGAAATAACTGTTAGAGTCATCATCGACGTCATAAACATGTTGCCTAGACCCAGGGCGGCGGTAGGTGGAGTAGGAGTCTGGGACTCGTGCGGCCTGGGCCTCTCTCATCCTCAGTTCCTGCTCGGCTTTTTGTCGATCCAGTTCTTCTTGGCGTAGTCTCTCCTCTTCCATTTTCTGAAGCATTTCTTTTTCGCGCTGTTTTTCTTCTCTCCTGTGAAAAACAAACGATTTAAGTCGCCATTACTGTTGGTAATCTTTTTCGGAAAACCGAAAAAAAAGTCTGCCACTTTGTTCGATGTTGCCGGGCAAGTTGCACGTTGCTTAGTGTAAGACCAGCTAGGTAACGCAGGAAAAAGGACAAAAATCTTTCACAGTGGAATAATATTATTGCTCATTAAAATTCCAAAGGGAACGTATCTATTCGTAATAGCACAATTTACCTTCTCTTTTTCTCCATCTCTGCTTCTTTTCTAGTTCTATCCTCTTCTTGTTTTTTCTGCCTTAGTCTCATAAATTTCTCTCGCTTGCGTTCTTGTTCTGGAGTCAAGCCCTACACAGGCAAAAGAGACCCACCCATATTACATAGGGATCGAATACCGATTGCCATATATTTCTTTTAGCTCTAGTTCTGAGAAATCTGGAGTTTCATCAACTTGATTATTATATTTATTCTCAACATCACTCTAGCTGAAATTGTATCGATATTATAAAGGAGAAGATTAATGCTGATCAACCTCGCACTACTTGTCTAGTTCCAGGCTTGGTTTCTGTTTTGATTACTTGTTCTTGTTCTACTACCGCCTCCATCATTTTTTAAAAAGATACAATCAAATTGTACAATCCGAACAAATTAAATCAACAAAAGACAGCTGCAATTCTTCGAAAACATGGCGGGCTGAAACAGCACCAATAAAAAAGTTATCATATTTGTTAGTAAATACAAATCAGTTTACCTGTGTTGTAGGTTGTGCGTCATCACCAATAAACATTGCCAATCCTTTCTTACTAGGGGTGTGAATCTCCACCTCAATTTCCGCTGTACCACCCCCAGGAGGGTGAACGACGTTGCGTTCTTGCTTGGTATCGCTACTCATAGAGGCTGTGTCCGGATACACCAACGGGGGTGGTGTCGGTACTTGAGCAACGTCCACATTCCAACACTTCCGCGCGGGTGCCGTGTGGCGGGAAGCCGCTGGATCGTGCGAAGACGGGCGTGGTGGGACTGGCGTGGGCGTGGAACTCACTTCGACCGCTGGTTGGGATGACGGGCGCATTACATCCTGATTAAAGTCCAGATCTTCACCAGGTGGGTAATCAGAAAGGCGAAATTCACGTGTTTCAAACTGCGGTTCACCGGAAGGACTGGGTTTAGAGACGGACGCAGGAAGTGGAGAGTTAGCTGGAGACGACCAAGCGATGGGTGGAGAGGGTTGATTAGGAAACTCGGCCAAAGGTTTTCTCGGTTTATCGTGGGGAACCCTGTCCACGTGCACCGCCTAAAATTGGAAATAAGATAAACATGTTGATAACTTAATCCAGAACAGCTATGTAGCCAAACTGAAAGAGTGCTGGGTTCGCCAAAAAAGCCCACTGTTTAGTCTCCTCAGTTGGTGCTCCGCTTTTTGTATCTGATTCAACCTGCTTTTCATGAGTTATTAATACTATCATGTTTTTTAGGAAGGAAAAAAAAACAACAAACAAACAGACAAATGCGGCTAAATTTCTCACCTCAGACCCAGTTCCTTCTCGGACATTCTGATTCCCTTGAGCTTTTCCAATGACATACCAAAACGCAGTCTGCCCCAGTCTCCTTCGCTGATCTTCCCACTCGGCTTGAGCACGGTATTTTTCAGCCTCGATGTGACGCCGTTTCTCTTCAAGCTGCATTTGCAGGTAAGCAATCTGTGACGTCACTACCTTTTCGTCTTCAACTTCATCTGGCGTTTCGTCGATTTCACCTAAAACACAAAACCACGTCAGTAAATATATTTGTCTGTGTCACGCTACGCAGTGCCATATAACGCATGACTAACTGTCACGCAATCCTGGCTTGTTGGCTGGTACTGGACTGGAAATCCCTTAGACATGGCGCAGTAGGAGTTACGATAAAAAGAAACAAAATTACTTTATACAACTTTTTTTTCACCGATAAACCTTTGAGTCTGTGGATGAAACCCTAGTGTGTGACCATTCAAATGAAAGCTATTGAGCAGTACTTTCATGTGGTACNAATTACTTTATACAACTTTTTTTTCACCGATAAACCTTTGAGTCTGTGGATGAAACCCTAGTGTGTGACCATTCAAATGAAAGCTATTGAGCAGTACTTTCATGTGGTACTGTTTATTATGCTCTACAAGGTAGTTCTAACTTTAAGGTCTGTGCATGAAAACCTAGTGTGTGACCATTCAAATGAAAGCTATTGCACTTTCATGTAAAACTGTTTACTATGCTCTACGAGGTAGTTCTAACTTTTAGGTCTGTGCATGAAACCCTTGTATGTGACTATTAAAATGAAAGCCATTGAGCAGTTCTTTTATGTGGTGCTTTTTATTATGATTTCACGTCTGTGGCTAAAACCCTTGTGTGAAGCCATTTGAATGAAAGGCTTCCGAGTATTCATTTAATTTTACAAAATGAAAAAAAAAAAAATTAATAATAGCTTGGGTACTCTTCGGGGTGAAAGGGTCTATCGTTACAAAACAAACCTTCATCATCGCAAGGCAAGTCAATTACTTGATTAAGAACATCAGAAGGAGACAACCCACAGTCCTCTGCAGCATCCATTAGACTGGCGATCTTATCTAATACACTACCACTAGGGCGCCACGTGGCGCGTCCTCGGGGAGACGCAACGTTTGAGTCAGTTTTCGGCTCCACCGATTCAAGGTCCTTAGTGGGTACCAAGTCGGCCTTTTTGTCCATCGATACTTGACGAACCGAATCAGCACTTTCCTTGACACTTTGTTGTGAAACAAATGTCAAAGGTGAAGAAACACCTGATTTGACTTCATTTTCCGAATTTTGGCTGGGTTTTGAAGGATTCTTAGTGTTCGCTTCACTGTTGTTTAAGTTAACCTCTTCAACCTTGTTGTCAACAATCTGAAATTTCGACGCATTTGGTTGTTGTGGACCATTTGATGAAAAATACTCAATAACAAATGCGTCCGAGTTTGAATTTCCTGCGTTTGATTTCTTCGAGATCTGTCGTTTCGGTTTTGGCGGCGATTGCTTTTTCCCCGAACCTGAGCTTTTCACACCAGTTTTGTCCGATGTTTCTGTGGAACCATTTTTGGCGTTTTCTTTCCATTCGATTTCTTTCGCGTTCTCCTTCTGAAGTCCAGCACTGTTTGATAACTTTTCCAGAACCTCCATTACAGGAACACCACGTGACAGGTCACGTTCCACCGAACCGCTCACGTGATCAAGCGTAAACGTTCTGCGATTTTCACTCTGGTCGACCACAGGAGATTGCGTCGCGTAATCGCCATGAAGTGTGTTCTCCTTTACCCTCGGTTGTACGATTTTTGCTAAATCGAGCTCTTCGTTGGAACTATCAAGAATGAAAGTATTGCTTCGGTTACGCGAAGAATCGAAACTTTGCGACGAGATATCGTAGTCGGATAACGAAGACAGAAAACCGGAATCCACAGAACGCGGTCTGACGTCCCTGGAAGATGAAACCGGTTCAGCAGGTTTTTCAGATGCAATGCTGTCCAAAAAGTCACTTAAAGACGTACCAGACTGGAACGCCTTCTGCACAGCGAAGGCAACGTCATCTAGCGAATAAGCTTTCCTTATGGGTGGGGGGTAAGGTGACGCGAGGGGAGAGGTGTTAGGCGATTGCTCACGCGTTGGTTTATGATGGCGGATAGTTGTTTCTGAGTAGCGCTTACGTTTCCGGTTCTCTTTGTCTAATGGCGCTGTCTTCAACTTTCCTCCTAAAGTTGTTCTTGAGAATTCCACCAGTTCATTTGTGAGTTGGTCCAGTGCTTGTATGACAGGTATTCCTGCCTTCTTAGCGTCTTCAAGTGTCCTCGACATGTCCTCTAGTGAGTGAGTGTACCTCTCGGCCGAGTGTTTCTCGTTACCTTCATTAATTAGCTCTGAGTCGGACTTTGAGTTGAGGCGCATTAGATTTGTCCTATGTGTATCAGTTTTCGCAGCAGATGTGACAGCTCTTAGAGCGTCAACAACTGGAATTCCTGCAGCTTTTGCGTCGTCAATAGTCTGTGAAACACTGTCTAAAGAATAAGTCCGGCGCTCAGTTTGATTGCCACCAAGACAAGATTTTTCATTTTTAACGCTTTCGTTCACAAGTTCAGGGTGATCTTCGTGTGGTCTTCGTACAGATTCGTCCGATGTCGGATTGTTCCGAGTATTTTCCAGACATGGAGCAGTCGTCTGTAGATCCTTAGACATCTCTTTAGCATTCGCTTGTAACAAAAGCTCGCACGCGGAAGTCAAGAAATCTAACTTCTGAACGACACCTAAGCCTCTAGCCTTGCTCTCATTGCCACTGGTTTTTGATGTTGTCAATTCTTTAGCTTTCGCGTGCAAACTCAGCGGCGACATCAATTGTCTTTGGCTTCCATCGTAAAGACGCAACTTTGCCCCTTCGCCAATCGTCTCCAGCGGACTCGCCAGCGCATAAGTCTTCCTGTTTACCAGTTTCTCTTGTCTTCGATGGACAGCGTCTGGCGTCTGCCTGAGCGAAACATCTTTAGGCACAGTCATTTGTCCCAAGGCATCGACAACAGGAAGCCCTTTTTCTTTCGCCTTTTCCAAGGTATAACTCACTTCATCCAGAGTGTATGTTCCTCTGTTTTCTGCACTTCTCTCTGGTATCTTAATCAGTAGTGGACTTGGTGGTTTTTCCTTTGACAAGGACTCGAGAGCTTCAATAACAGGTATCCCGGTTTTCTTAGCGTGCTCCAGAGATTTCGATACGTCATTCAGGGTGTAAGTGCCTCGCTTCTGTGCACTCTCTCCAGTCCCTCTGGCAGCTTCCTTAGCTTTCGTCATGTTTTTCAAAGCTTCCACTACAGGAATGCCCTGTTCTGAAGCAGCCTTCAACGAAAGTGAGACTTCATCCAAAGTGTAGGTTCTCCTTTTTTGCACAGACAACTGAGCGTCTGAAACCTTCTCCTTGGAACTAGTGTTCGTTTTAGACAAACGTTCTAATGTTTCAACCACGGGGACGCCATCTTGTACGCCGCCTTCAACTGTGTTTTCAACGTCGTCAAGATTGTAAGTGCCACGCTTCCCTGACGTCTCCGAAGATAGTTCCCGATCAGATGACGATCGTTCCCGATTGGAAGGCCCTCCTTCCCGATCAAGTGACGATCGTTCCCGATTAGAAGACGATTGCTCCCGATCAGAAGACGATAGTTCCCGACCTGGAGGCGATCGTTTCCGATCAGAAAACGGTCGTTCTCGATGAGAAGCCGCTGGGAACGCTACAAAAGTCACACAATCCTCAAGTTGCTCCAGAGCATCCTCAAACGAAGCCTCGATCTCGTCTCGATGGTCGGGAGAGAGCGCTCGGTGAGTTTTGAGACCACACGCAGCATCGCCACAGGAAGAATCATCATCTCCATGCGCAGGGGTATTCCGTAATGGCTTCCCTTCCTGAGCTAGGCGATTTAATGTCACGGATGCAGGAATTCCTAATTCCACTGCTTCCTCAATCGCGTGTGACACCGTGTCTAATGTGTAGGTTCCCCTGTTTTGGGATGGTTTGGACGTGTTTTCTAAAGATGTGCCTAGTGACGGATACGACTCGTGTTCAGACGCAAGCTGATCTAACACATCCACTGTTGGCAAGCCTTGCTCCTGAGCATCTTCTAACGTCTGTGACACGGTGTCCAGAGTAAACGTACCACGCTTTGGAACATACTCAACTTGCGCTGAAGAATCACCAGCACCAGGCAAGGTTGATGATTTCAGTTCTTCGCGTTTGGCGAGTTGGCATAAGACCTCAGCAACAGGTACACCGTCGTCCACTCCACTTTGCAGCGAAGAAGAAACTGCATCTAAGGTGTAAGTGGATCGTTTCTCTGAAGGTTCGTTGATCTCTTTCGATGTTAAATCCTCTTTTGCTAATGCATCATCTGGAACCGGTTTATCTGGAAGAGAGTTGTCATCCCGTTCACTCAAGTTCTTCGCCGTTACATGTGAAACATCAGTTACTATTCCACTTTGTTCGATCACGCTTTCTATTTCTTGAGACACGCTATCCAAAGTGAACGTGCCTCGCTTCTGCGCCTTGTCATCTGGCAGCGATGAGGTATCAGCATCCGACTGCAGTTTACTTTGTTGAAATTCCGCCTTGTTTGCCAATTCGTTGAGCACTTTGACAACAGGTAATCCTTCACTACTTGCATTCTCTATAGACTGGGACACAGGATCTAAGGTGAAGGTGCCACGCTTGGAGACTTGTTCACCTGTTGGTACACCTATATCCACTTTACATTCCTCTTTACTGGCAAGTTCGATTGGCAACCCTTCGTCGGACACCGTATCTAAGGTGAAGGTGCTACGCTTTGAGACTTGCTCACCTGTTGGTAGACCTATATCCTCTTTAGATTCCTCTTTACTCGCAAGTTCATTCAGTACCTTAACGATTGGTAACCCTTGGTCGGACACTGTACCTAAAGTGAAAGTGTTTCGTTTTAGCAGCTTTGGTACTTCAATGTCACTCTGCTCTTTAAAAGCTTCCGGCTTTATGGCAATAGCGTTCCAAGCAGTATCAACAGGTAATTCTCCACTTAGTTCTATTTCCGTAACGCGTTTTTCTGAAACAAAGGAAAACTCGCATTGTTTCTGCGTTGCTTTTAGATTGCCAGATGAATCTGACGCCTTTTCGCCAATTTCACTGCCAAAAGATGGATCGCGTTTGGATTTTGACTCATCCCTCTGAGAAGAAGCCAGGAAACCTTTATCAGCAACGTTCGAGAAAGAAATGGGTTGTGCACCTTGAGGCTGACAAGGCTTTGATTTTTGATGGCGTCTGAGGTTTGAACGCGTTTTGAGTGCCTTAAACGGTGACTGCAGCAAAACCGGCTCATCTTTGGCGCGTTTTGAACGCGGTTCATCATCGAAACTCACTTCAAACGCTACAGATTTGTCCTTTACTGCCTCAGTTTCAGTGTTACTTACAATCCGAGGTTCAGAAACAACGGCCTCGTCCTTTCGTTCTAGATTGGCAGTCGTAAATCTTGACAGCACACGAGGCGGAGGTCGACTCTTTGATGCATTTTGAAATCCAACATTGAATGCAACACCATCTTTGGCAGAAATTTTTGAAAATTCGTGTTGACTTTCTGTATCGGCCGCTTTTTCGCTTGATTTTGATGATTCAGCGAATAAGCCTGCTCTAATCCTTCCGTGCGTTTCGTCCTCAGCTGACTGAATGGCGCCTTTTGTTATAGTAATCTTCGACTGTTCCCTGCCTGGAGTCACGTTCAATCTTGACACGCCTGCTGCCGCGGACAGCGCCGCTATTCTAGCGCGGATACTACCGCCTGCACGCGTATCTGGCTCAGACTCGGAAATAGATGAGCTTGATGCCATGTTTCTTTCCTTTTCAGATGTCTCTTTGGACTTACCCAAACAAGGGCTTCTATCAGCAACATTTGTTAGCGACTCTGAGCCAAATTGTCCATTAGAGTAAGACGAAAGACCCACACGCGTTACTGCGGGCAGCCCCAAGACTTCAGGTACTTTCGCTCCATTTTCAGTACCCTTCCGGGGAGTTTCCTCGCCATTGCGCACGTTTTGGGGGCGTATGACCGCTGTCGCTATGAAACGCGGTCCTTCATTAGGTAATTTGTCAGTAAAAGGCTTTGTCCTTGCTTCCTCCTGCATGCAACCTAAAAATTCAAATAATATTAGAGCAAATTATCTCACGGCAGCAAAAGCAGGATTAGTAGACAACAGAAACAAATATTACCGGGTACTTTGCTCCAAGACAACAATTTGCTACGCAAAACAGCCTGAACTGGTCATTTTGGCAGGGTCTGCTTATGAGAACTGATACTTTATACTTCAATACAGAGAGTTCTTTTTTCCTCTTTCAGCGGCAAGTCAAATGTATGATTCACTTCATAGGTATTTTACCACAAAAATTGTTATATTGGTTGAAGATAGCTGATGCTTGTACGACACTAAGAGCGACCAAAATAACCACTCGTAACCTCTATTTTGAATTTTAACAATGTTTCTATTTTCCTATGCAAAGAGCCGATATGAGAATAATTTATATTGAAATGGTCCATATCATTAACTATCCTTTTGCGCTTAAATTATGACAACATGAGAAATTATGACAACATGAGAGCAATTAACCCAAAATTAACATTTTTGCGATTAAATTTATCTTCAGATGGCTACTTTGCTCCTAAGAACGCGTGCAGACACCCCCTGAATTTCACAAACAGATATTCGTGTTGGTGAAAAACAAGATATATCGAGTGAGCATCTGTCAAATCTATTTATTATTTTAATATTTACACAAACGTGCCGAACAACCCCTAAAGAGCCAAAAATGTAGAAAATGTAAACACGGTGGAAGATAAGTTTTTGACAGAAGTTACATAAATCAAAACTGCTTGTGTAAACAAAGACTAACAGTCAAAATTGACCAACAACAAAAATGTCTCTTCCCTGGTTACAATGAGAGAGACTATGTAAGTCTATAAAATAACAATTTAAAATGTATTCACAATAATAAATATTCAATATGAGGCCAAGAAAAAATATTAACTTTGCAAGATTGTGACGCAAGAAGTTACGTGACATTTCGACAAGAATCCATTACAAGCAATTAAGCTAAAATCTGTTTTAAAAACAAGAGTCTCATTAGAGCAGAACTCTTTCAATTCACAAACTTCTGCTCGCGAAATAAGGAATTAAAAACCCCGCTGCTAAAAGTGCTGTATTGTATTCAAGATAACAGATATTCGAGACTTGCCTAGACAAAAGCTAAAACGAAGACGTCTTTTAGTAAAAGTGAAATTTTAGAACATAAAAAGCTACACTATATATGCGTTCGTATAGATTCTACCTTTAATGCTTTTCCGCCAAGCATCAGACTCCTACAGTTGATACCAAACACCCAAGGCACCGGACTATAAACACGCTTCTTTCCGGTGGCGTTCTGGTGGAATAACTCGGTGATCTACACAGCGTGTTCACCCAGCTTTTCGTAAATTTCTTAGAGGAATATCCCCAAGAGTTAAAGCACAAAGATTGACGAGATAACAAAATCAAGTGCGGTCAAAACCATGCCCGGTACTCGCCGGCCATAGCATCACGTCCTGCTGTTGATCGATCGTGCGCTGTTCTGAACACAACACTCGCAGTCTTCAATATAAACCACACAATGCTATTTCCGAAATATGACGATCGACCCATACACTGGCTACTTCGTTCCTAGGGAATGACATCACCATTGCCGAGTGTTAAGCGACATTTCCCACACAAACATCCAACACGGCGAACCGATAGCGAAGAGTAGGTTATACGATGATTATAAACGGGCTGTTCACAAATTTGACGTTGTTTTCGTCTCTTTTCGGTTCGGTTATTTCACGGTAAGCCACCTCTAACAACCCCAAGGGATCCGTTGAGTCACGGGCGGTTAAAAACGACACAAGATCCGATTAAAACACTCGAAAATATACCGTGCCACGACTACAAGTTAACGTATTCAGATTTCTACATGCAAATTACAGACCTCGCAGCGCGTACACGCAAGAATCAACAATTATATTATTTCGCATATATTATTTATCAATATGGTAAAAGGCTCTCGATGGACTCACCTGATTGTGCAGTGGTTAAAGATATTTCTTTGAATCCAGAGGCGATATGGCTCGGCGAAAGTCTTTACAGAAATCGACCCCAATGTTATGATGTCAACATTCAGTCGAGCGAGTCTAATGAATCAGCGACACGCGAAAACACGGTCACACAAGGCACATGTAACGCGCGGAAAATATGTAGCTAAAATCGAACGTCTGTTTTGAGTGAAACACTCCTAGCTTTTCACCAGACGAAAATATCATCTGCAACTCACGGGCGAACGATTGACAAAGTAGCCAAGCGCTGCAATCCACAACAAATTGTGATTGTTATGATATGGAAATTGACAAGAGAAATTAATTTCTCCGCCACACCTCGGAATTGCTTCATCAGAAGGAAGCGATAAGGATTATGCAAAATCACCTCCGGATTTTCCACACCTTAAATTGCATCTTATTTTAACCAAACTGACAGGCAATTTGTTTCGCTGTAATTCCCCAGTGCCTGGTGGCATGTTTGACTTCTTTTGGCTGTAAATCCGTTTTCTCTACACCAATTTTCTGTGCCAGGGTGACGTTTTTCTAGCGTCATTAATATCCTTTTCACCGCACAGACAAAACTTTGAAGATCGTGTCAATGCTAAGTACACCACAACGCCTGCATTACTCAAGGGAAAAAAAATCGATTTTTCTTAAGGAGGGCAGGCGGTAGAACAGAAAGGACTTAAACCGCTTAGTTGTGCACAAGCGTTTCTTTGTGTCTGAGTTCCATAAAACAGAATAACAGGTAGAAGATGGTTTATAAATCGCTCGAAAACTGTCAAGCCTTTACACTGAATATTTCCCGAAGGCTATAATTCGTTCATCCTTCGAGACCCTGGGTGGGGACAGTGAAAGGTTTTAAAATGGCGAAACATGTCAACAAAAAAGATTGTCTTCCACTGATCTAACTTTCACTCGCTCCGGTCATCAGTGCCTGGGCATTAGCAACGTTCAATATTCAAAAATCTTTTCTACAGAGTATAAGCTCATTTATCTCCTCGATCATAAGCGTGCGAACTGGGGGGTGGAGGCGGAGGCGGAGGTTGCAGCTTCCCATCTACGGAAATTATGTAACTTTTACGAGCAGAATTGGCAAAAATTTGGGCAAAAAATGGAGACTGCTGATTGAGGTCATTGAGTATGCAAGCTCTCAATGTAAGTATTTCTGAAATTATAGCAGTCCATTAGATGCAAGAATTGTGAACGTTTCTGTTTTTCATGCAATTTGATCATGAGTGCGTTTTGCATCTCGATTTCAACAATCACGCATTCGGGCATTGCGTAATTTTTTTCGGGCAAGGTCACCGTACCCCCCCCCCCCCCCCAAAAAAAAAAGTCAAAAAAAAAATCATCATCATTTGTGTCATGAGGTAAAAGACAGAAAATCATTTCCTGTTTTTACAAACAGTAGAACACGTATTTTAATCTTTCCCTAAAAAAAATTATNCCCCCCCCCCCCCCAAAAAAAAAGTCTGAAGCCTGTACGCCCATGTCCTCAATCACCTCATGATGGTGAAAACAGGCCTTTCTTTTAAGTTACATATTTCCGATCAAATGGTAAGGAATGTGTTATCTCACAGCAAACGTCACTTCAAGATGGTCATTCCTTTTTCCAATGCTTCGCCCCTGTCCAGTACCAGCCAGTACAACTGTACGCCAACACTTCGCACCGTCCCCTCCCTACTATCCTTACCTTTGTCATTCAACATGACTTGCCCCCCTACACCACTCTTAGCTGCTGTCAGCCAACTGATCCTTGCCCCAGGGCTCCCGCGGCCTGTGTGTCTGGGACTGCCACGCCTTCTGGGACTGCTTGGGCCAGGACTCTCCTGAGCGGGCTGCTGTGTAAAAACACACATGATCGACTTATCGCACCGATCATAGGGATCATTTAAATTAACAGATACCTGTCAATCATCTATATAATTCATCAAAACTGGAATACATTCCGTCCGATCATCTCCCTCCCCCCCCCCCCCCCCCCCCCCCCC